GGAGGCAGAGTCAGGTGGATCTTTGTGAGTTTGAGGCCAGCTTGGTCTCCAAGCAAGTTCCAGGACAGCCAGGACTACACAGAAAAACCTGTCTTGTAAAGCCAATATATATATATATATATATATATATATATATATATATATATATCCATATATATTTGTATATATATGGATAATTGGAATGTAATTGGCCCCCATAAATTCCTTGGGAGTGGCACTATTAGGAGGTGTGGCCTTATTGGAGGAAGTATGTCACTGTGGTGTAGAAACACCCAGGGTCTGCACCTCCCTCCTCGCGGTACGGATAGCGTTCTTCGTACCTCCACAAGCTGGGCAAGGGTCTGGGGGTTAAACAGAGACACACACACACAGAGTCTGGATCATTCGATAAGAGGTCACCGAATGCCAATTTATTCAGCTTAATCCAGGGTTAATATACTTTGGCCCCAATAACGGAAAATCCCTCCCAGCCAGAGGGGGTTGGGGGAACTGGAGCCATGTGAGAGCTCCTCCGTAGGCAGGTGGGCGAGGGGCGGAGAGCAGTGACAGACAGGTGAGAGGGACCTTGGCAGCATGAGCTCTCCCAGGCAAGTTGGAAATTACCACACCAAAGATAGAACAAAACCCTGGGCTAATTCACCAGGCTAGAGCAGAATGAGCACAGAACTTAGCAGGAAGCTTTAGCTGGTTAGCCAAAACAGTCCTTGATTTGCATCCCAGGAAGCAAGGGAAGGCCCGGGCCCTACACTATGGGGGTGGGTTTTGAAGTTTCCTATGCTCAAGATACACCCAGTGTCTCAGATCACCTCCTGTTGCCTGTGGGTCAAGATGTAAGAACTCTCAGCTCCTTCTCCAGCACCATGTCTGCCTGCATACCACCATGTCACACTACAATGATAATGGACTAAATCTCTGAAACTGTAAGCTACTCCAATTAAATGTTTTCCTTTGTTGCCATGGTCATGGTGTCTCTTCACAGCAATAGAAACCCTAACTAAGACATATATAATTTTTGAACTGAAGATGCTTCAATATAAAAATAAACTTTAAACAATAAATACAGTTCACAGAGACACTGAGAATCTCATTTTCTGATTCTTTTATAGTGTACTCTTACAAAATATCACAGGTTTTTTATGACTCAGTTTCTCCAAATAGCCAAAGCTTAACAAAGTTAGCAAAGATGTAAGTGATTAGAGGATACATCTTTAAGTCAGTTTCTGTTAGCTGGAATAGACCATTATAGAATAAAATTTAGGAATTTATAAAACTTAATCATTAGCCAGGCAGTGATGGCACATGCCTTTAAACCCAGCACTTGGGAGTCAGAGTCAGGCAAATCTCTGTGAGTTCGAAGCCAGCCTGGTCTATAAAGTGAGTTCCAGGACAGCCTGAGCTATATAGAGAAACCCTGTTTCTTAAAAACCAAACAGATAAAAGCTCGATTATCAAACAAATTTTGTTCCTAAGTGATGTCTTCCTTAAACCTTGTTCGTGGTTTTGTCCTCACTCATTATTTTTCACTCTTAGATTTTTTTGTATGATGATTTTGTCCCATTTTTATCCAAAATACCTTGGAGGCTTGGTACTGCCACCTTAGTCTAATTTAAAAAGAGGAGAGAGAGAGAGAGGGGGGGGGAGAGAGAGAGAGAGAGAGAGAGAGAGAGAGAGAGAGAGAGGAGAGAGAGAGAGAGATACAATGATAACCAGATGACTCAGTAGAACTAGGAAGTTCAATAGTTGATACCATAAATTGGGTTTTGTCATATGGTCACATTAACCCCAATGGCAGTGAGTTCACAAAGCATTGACCTTCTTTATGATATTAGCAAAGATGGCAGTCGAGCACATGGTTGCTTCCCTTCTGATGAGGTCACCAGACAAGACAGCAATTCGCTTAATGTGAACCTACTAATGCAGCCCATGAGGCACACCCAGTTTTCCTTCCCCCCTCCTTCCCTTTCTCCTCCCTCTCTCCCTCCCTTCCTTTCTTTCTTCTTTTTTTCCAAGACAGGGTTTCTCTGTGTAACAGTCTTGGCTGTCCTGGAACTCACTCTGTAGACCAGGCTGGCCTTGAACACACAGAGATCCACCTGCTTCTGCCTCCCAAGGTCTGGGATTTTTTAAAAAATTTATTCATTTATGTGTATGGGTGCTTCATCTGCATGCTCTATCCACATGTATGCCTGCATTCCAGAAGAGGGCATCAGATCCCATTATAAATGGTTGTGAGTCTCCTTGTGGTTGCTGGGAATTGGACTCAGGACCTCTGAAAGAAGAGCCAGTGCTCTTAACCAATAAGCCATCTCTCCAACCCCTCTTTTTTTAGACGTCTATTTTTCCTAAACAAAAGACAGCTTTCCAATAAAGACTCTTGAATCTCTGTAAGACTGAATCCAGTGATCTCATATCCTTAATCAGTTTGTGTGTGTCTTCAGAGGACAGTAAGCAACATAAAAAGTTTAACAAGTATTTTTTCTCTCTTATAAAGACATATCCAGGCTTGGTGGTACAGAAATAAGGGCATGCCAAAGGCATAAAACTAAAAGTCTCTCCTATCTCAGCTAGGGATCACAACGAGATAAGCAATATTATCCAGGGTTAGCAGGCACTCCAGCTCTGGGTGTGGTGGAATCCCAGAGCAGTATGGAGTCTCAAGACAAAGGGGGGCTCCTCTAGCACTGCCCCAACCTAACTGGGGTGCCTCTGAGTTAGGTTCCATGGTTACCTCATCCTGGTGTTTGGCTGTGTTGCATGTGTTGTCTGTCAAATGGAGTGTGGCCTCCCACATAGAAGGTCAGACTGAGCTAGAGCCGGACAGAGGTAAATGACAGAAAGTCATAAACGGAGAGTATTAAGAAATGGTGGCCCTACCAGGCCCACTAGGCCCGAGGTCCTCAAGCATATGAGAGCCAGGGAGGGCTTGGGCCACTGGTGGGTTTCAAATTCCCTTCCTGAGTTTTGGCACCATATGCTAGATTTCTAAGGCAGCTTAAAGAAACAGGAGGAAGTAAAAGAGATGGCAGATTGATCTTTGGTAGATCAGACTGTTTATGGGAACACATATGCGCGTTAAGAATACCTGTGGGAAAATGGCTGTGACCCTTTATAGGGATAGAAGTGACAGGAGTGGGTAGTTGGCATTTTCTCCCGTAATCCTTCCCTTCTCCAGAGTTGCCTGCCCAAGGTGAGACAAGCTGTCTCGGCAGAATACTGAACAAGATTGTCTGTGATGATGTAGGAAACCTGTTTAACAGGAAGATGTTCTCTTGGTGCACACCTCTGATCCTAGCACTTGGGAGGCAAAGGCAGGTAGATTTCTGTGAGTTCAAGTCCAGCCAGGGTTATATAGTAAAGTCCTTAAAAAAAATAAGCTGCCCTGAAAATGGCATTTAACAAGCAATAGACACACAGGCTGGAGTAGTGCATGTTTCTTCAATTTCCTCTGTCTATTGCTGCCTTGGGTAACAAAGGTTTGGGGTTGAAGACCACAGTGATGTGCTAGGTTTTGCATTCCTGTGTGATGGGTGGTTCAGTTCTAGGTAGCGTTAAGCGGGGTCTCTCATATGGACTTATCCAGTAGGAAACTTGACTGAAGGACTTTGATCTTCTCCAACTTTAAATAGGACCAAGAGCATTTCACAGTGAGGTATCTGGATTTCCACTTGGAGTTTTTCAAGAAAGAACCTTGAATGTGTAAACCCTGGGAAAACTTTACTTGTCACGTGACCTGTAGTACCATCTCCTGAAGACATTAGCATTGAGAGGAAAGTTTGGGAGCAGCGGTAGGCACCAGCATGCCACTTATTCTGACTCATGTCCATGTACAAACCTCCTTCAGAACAAGTAAGACGATGTCAAATGAAAGGCTTAATAGAGGGCATCTCCACTCCAGTGAAAAACAAAAGCGGAACAGAACCCGACTTGCCATTCTCGACTGTCCCACACTGAGCTGACTGCACAGTCCTGTCTTACAGTTAGTGTTTAGAAACGCTAGCAACCATTTTTAACGAGCAGAGGAAACATAGATGAACTATGATCTCAGAAGTACAAAGTTCTGGGACACCACCATAGGTTATATGCTCATTCGTCTAACAACACAGAAGTAGCATCCTCGGCACTGGGACAAGTACACAATTATCACATCTTCCCCACGAAACTGACATTTGGAAGTCAATGGTAATTTTATTTTTATATCATTTCTAACTACGAATGACTCAATATAAGTGTTTGGTTTTTGAAGAGCCTTCTTCTGACATGACCTCAGCAGTTTTACTTTTTATCTTTTCAGACAGGATCTCACCATATAGCCCTAACTAGCCTGGAACTCACTATTTAGCCCAAATTGGCCTCAGGCTCACAAGAGATCTACTTGCTTTAACTCCCAGGTGTGGGGGTGGGGGGTTGGGGGTTGGGGGGTGGGTTAAAGACGTACACCACTATGCCCCGCTATTTCCTCTTTTTCTGTAGCTTCACCTACCCTTCTTGAGAAGAAAAAGAAGAGTCATTCTGAAATGAAATTATTGTATGACAACCAAATTCTATGCAATATTCAATTAAGCTACTCTGAAATCTTTGCTGCCAGTCTGTGAATTAAGGGTACCTTACTTAATATTCACGGACAGTTTACATGCTCATGATATAAATATTTACAATTAATTTTGGAAAATTTCATACATTAACTCTACTATTTGAAAATACATTAGTAAGTTTTTATTTGTAAGATGCATCTATTTTCATTTTATATGTATGTCTATTCTGCCTGAATGCAGACATGTGCACCAGTTCATGTGCTATGCCTTCAGAGGCTCAAGAAGGGTGACAGACACCTAGAAACTGTAGTTACAGGTAATAGCAAGTCACCATGTGTGTTCTAGGATTGAACCCGAGTCCTTTCCAAGAGCAGCAAGTACTCTAAACCACCGAGACATCTGTCTAGCTCCCTAAAACATAATTTTTAGTGGGCAAAGGAACTGTTGCATAACTGTTGTAGCCAGAAATGTTTATTTGGGGGCTTTGTATTTGTCTGAGGTCTTTCCAAGGCTATATTCATATGACAAAGCAGTTTTGGGTAATGTAAAAAATAATATATTTTATTTTAAGATCTCGTTCCATTCTGAATTTTCCTCTATTGCATATCTCTTCCAGAAGAGTGACAATGTGGGAAGCTGTGGCGTTTTCAGAACCTGGTAAGAAAGAGTTAACTCAAGGACACATTCATTTTGAGCTTTATGGTGTGTGTTTATATAAATTACAGCTACCTCAATATATTGAGGTTATTACCAATCATCCCAGTATAAGAAAGGCTTTCAGAAATGGATCTTTGAGTCAGGTGTGGTAGTATTTTCAGCACTTGAGGGGCTGAGGCAGGAGGATCACCAAGAATTTGAGGTCAGCTTACACTGTGTACATACCTAGAGTCTGTATCAAAAACAAAACAAAATTGTGTCTTTACCACCTATGGTGATGTACACCTATGATCCCAGCACTTGGGATCATAGCAAGGTTCCGTCTCAAAACAACAATAAAAAAAAATCTCATTTATAATACCCGCAAAAGAAGCAATAAGCCTGGTGCATGCAGTTGAGGAGCTCTTGATAGCTGGTGGTTTCCAGGGGAAAGACAATCAGGTCAACCATAGTCCAGTGGATGGCCCCCCACCAGTGAGTGTATGGGCAGCAGAAAGTGGAATCCCATGGGCTGTTAAAAAAAAAGGACATAAAGTTGAGGAAAGGTAGAGTAGCTCTGGGAGTTATAGTAAGGGATAGGGGTGAACATAATCAAAATACATGGCATGCATATCTCAAATTATCAAAAATATTATTTTAAGACATGCTACCTAGATTCTGTGGCCAAAACAAGTCGAACATAAAATTGTACATCTTCTTGATGAACTCAACACATATGTCATATCCTAGTCCGTTAGAGGATAAATCTCCTGAAACTACATGCTAAAATTAATCAATAGAAGACTGGTAACACAAACTTTATCAGATGGGAGGAGTTTAAACCAAGACTTGGTTCTAGACACAGAACATAAAAGGAACTTACCTCTGCCATTTCCCCCATTCCCTGGAGCACATAGAAGTGGTGGGATAATCATTTTCTGAGGTCACAGATGGGAATCACAGTTCTACAATCAGCAACACAGGAAAACCTAATCACCCACAGCCCTGAAGGCACCACTCTTTCTATGTGTATTGTGCAGGACAATGAATGAATTGGGCTGAAGACATAGCTCAATGACAGAGTGCTTGCCTAGAATTCATGAAACCTTAGGGTCAATTCCAACTTGAAAGGAAACGGGGGAGAATGGGAGGGAGTGAGGGGAGAGGGGAGAAGATGGAAGTCCGTTAAATCCTGCCATGGGAATTACATTGGGACCCAACTGATGAAGAATCCTGAGAAAAATCCAGGTTTTGATATCCAGCCTGCTTTTGGTGTCAAAGAAAGCAATGTCCTCCTCCTATGCAAAGGTATACAAGGATGAGGGCAGCCCAAGGGCATAAAGCTTAATGGTGAATACATAGCAACAATAAATTTTATACGCACAAAAAAGAATGGTGAGATTTTTGGCTGAATTATTTTTAAAAAGTACGAGAGAGAAAGAGAGAGAGAGAGAATTTTCCAACTTTGTAGAAAATTCCAGACCCTGGTTGTCCTGTATTCCATAGCCCTATTTTGTGCCTTTGAGATTTAGGAAAAAGCTCATGAAATAGGAAAAACTTTGATAAATTTTAGTAGGTGACAAATCATAATTAGTATCTCAGCAAAAGATAATACTAAGTACAGACTATCACTCCAAATTCCAATATTCTCGTTAAAACAACCACGAGCCTTCAGGTTCCTTCTGACAGACTTTTGTCATGTGACTCAGGAGTGACATCATCCCTATTCATCCAGCCTGCGGATTGCACAGCCTCCGGCTGAACCTGAACTTTCTGTTGAAGTCATTGTCTGTCCATCTTTCTCCTGTGCTTGACTTGCTGTCCTATTGATGTCCTATTGACTTATTTCAAATGACAGCGAAAACCTCATTCAAATGTCAGTTAATGTTCCATTCCTTGATAGTAAGAGCACAGCCACCAAGACTGGAAAACGTTCCAGTCTTGAGCCGTTGGTTTTCAAACCATGCTCTTCTGAAAAGGACGTAAGGTATTTTAACTACTAATATTTGACATTAGAACTTTTTTTTTCAGCCTATATACTTAAAAATGGAATTATGTGGACTGGCAAGATGGCTCAATTGGGTAAGGGTGTTTGTTACTTAGCCTGGCAACCTGAGCTCAACCCCCAGGACCCACCACAGAGTAGAGGACAGAATCAACTTTGTCCTCTGACTTCTATAAATGCACTGTGGCCTAGCAGATACCCAAATACACACATACAAATTAACTAATTAATTGAAATATTTTTAGATTTGTTTTATGTGTATGAATGTTTTTCCCTGTATATACACACCACATCTATGCCCAGAGAAGTCAGAAGAGGGTATTTAGAAGTGGACTTGTAATAGATGGTTTTGAACCACCATATGGATACTAGAACTTGAACCCTGGTCATCTGTAAGAGTTACAAATGTTCTTAGCCTCTAAATATCTCCAGCCCTAATACTTAAAAAAAAACCTTAATAGTAGAAAATATTCACACACACTAGTATCCACTAGATGATAAAATTGAATGTCGATAAATAAATCCTAATTAAAATTTTAAAACTTCAGCTTAATTAACCTTTGGTGGGTACTAGCTGCCACTAAGCTGTAGATAAGCATCTTCCTTAAGAATAACATCTACTATAAATTCATGCTTCAACACTGAAGACTCAGGATGCTTCTTAAAGATAAGTTTGCAATACCTCTATTGGCTAAGTGGAGTGGTTTGAAAGAAAATGACCCCCGAAGGGACTGGCACTACTAGGAGATATAGCCTTGTTGGAGCGGTGTGTGTCATTGTGGAGGCTGGCTTTAAGGTCTAATATAGGCTCAAGCCACATCCATTGAGATATTTCACTTCCTGCTGCTTGCCTGTCAAGATGTAGAACCCTCAGCTACCTCTCCAGCACCCTGTTTGTCTGCACGCTGCCATGTCCCACCATGATGACAATGGACTGAACCTCTGAACTGTGAACCACCCAATTAAATGTTTTCTTTTATATTAAATGTTTTCCGTGGTCATGATGTCTCTTCACAGGAATAGAAACCCTAACGAAGACACTAAGGTCCGTCCACAAATGGAGTTTCCCTTGTAAAAGATAATTTTGTTTTAATTATGCAGCGGGGAGTGTATGCACTGCAGAGGCTAAGAGGGCCTCAAATACCCTGAACTGGGTAACGTGAAGCCATGAGCCACCTAACATGGGTGCCAGGAACCAAACTCTGGTCCTCTTCAAAACTAGCACGTGTTCTTCACTACCGGACAAGTTCTGAAGCCCCTGCAAACGGAGTTTCTCTACCTGAAACTTTAGTATCAGTCCTGAGCTTTGACATTTCCATCAAAACATCACCGTAGTATGAGTCAGCACAGATACAATTAGCCTTCCACACTCACAGGCCTCACTTATTTTTAGAAATGCAAGAACAGACTGGGCGATGGTGGCACATGCCTTTAATCCCAACACACAGGAGGCAGAGGCAGGTGGGTCTCAAGCTGATACCAACCTGATCTACAGAGCAAGTTCCAGGACAATCAGGGCTTCAAAGAGAAACTCTGTTTTGAAAACAAAACAAAACAAAACAGAAAAAAAAAGAAAATGCCAGTACAGTGGCCTGGAGAGATGGCTCTGATGTTAAGTGCTGGCTTCTCTTGCAGTAGACCCAGATCTGGTTCCTAGCATCCACACAATAGCTCATAATTGTCTGTAACCCAGTTCCAGGGTATCTGATGGCCTCTTCTGGCCTCCCTGGGCACCAGGTATGCATGAGGTATGCAGATGTACATGCATACAAAACACCTATACACATTAAATAAAATAAACTGATTAATTTTTAAAAGACAAGCAACACAGGCCAGGGATGTAATTTCATTGGTAGTATGATTGCCTGGCTTGCATAAAGCCCTGGGTTTTTTGTCCAGCAACACATAAGTCAGATAATGTGGGACACACCTGTCATCCCCACACTTGAAAACTTGGAGCAAGAGGACCAGAAGTTCATGATCATCTTCAGATACATAATTCGAGGCCAGTCTGGGCTAAGGGGGGCCGTCTCTCAAAAATAAATAAATAAAATAAACACAAATGTGAACAAGTGTGTATGTTTTACTTAAATTAGTGTTGAAATTTTTCAAATGCATAGACTATATAGTATCTTTTGTTTCCCCCACACCACTGTTTACCTTACTGGCATATCTGAGATCTTAGATTGTGCCATTGTTATTCCCACGGAGCCTTCCACTGTTAGATCTACCAGTCTCTGTCCCCACTACTTCCACACAGTGTCTGTCTTAGGTGTTGTCTTTTGACCTTCTGAAACCATCTTGTCCCTCTTCAATGATTCTTTTTATAAACTCTAGAGTGCGTAGGGTCTCTAAAGGGGACTACAAGTTAGGATGAGGAAAAAACCGTTAGTTACATAAGGAAACCCTAAGGAGGTCAAGAAATGCCCCAGCTGCTACCAGTAGAGGTACATGATGACATCCAAAATCTTACAAGATCCGACTCACCTTACCTTAGCATTACAAAAAAAAAGTGAGACTTTTGTATATGTGAACCTTAATTAACTCAGTCTATACATACACTAAACACCACAATGGAAATTAATTCCAGGTAAAGAAAATAAAAGTTGTATTTCTTGCACATCTGTGTTTGTGGGTAATGTACTAGCTGGTGTGTGTGTGTGTGTGTGTGTGTGTGTGTGTGTGTGTGTGTGCACGCGCGCGCACGCATGTGTCAGCTGACACAAGCCAGAGTCATCAGAGAGGAAAGAGCCTCAGTTGAGGAAAGGTCTCCATGAGATCCATCTGTGAGGCGTTTTCTCATTAGTGATCAATGGGGAAGGGCCCAGCCCATTATGGGTGGTGCCATCCCTGGGCTGGTGGTCCTGGGTTTTATAAGAAAGCAGGCTGAGCAGGCCATGAGAGCAAGCCAGTAATCAGTATTCCTTCATAGCCTCCGCACCAGTTCTTGCCTCCAGGACCCTGCCCTGTGTGAGTTCCTGTCCTGTTGGTACCCGGACTTTCCCCCCTTTCTTCGAGGCGCTATGCTGAGCTGTTTTTCTCCTAGCTTCCTGCCTTCTCTGCTCGCTGCACCAGTTTGGGGGATTAGCTTAGAGAGAGCTTGGTCCTCTTTTGATATGGTAATTCCACCTGCAAGCAAGGTTCCCACCATGGCGCCTGAAACATCTGACACCTCAGCTGCTGACACTCCCTCCCCTCAGTTCTCAAGCCGGTGGCGCTGCCTAACACCCTCTTTCCCTGTCCCGGATGGGAGGAGGTTCTCGTCCTTCTGCCCCCAGGTATATATATACCCAACATGTGCTTAATAAAGTTGTCATTTACCCTTTGGGCAAATGAACCTGGTCTCTCTGTGTATGTCTGTTTAACTCCTAGGATATTGATCCAGGCTCGCGGTTTGGTACTGGAAGTGCGCCCCATAACGGAAAGTGGGGTTTCTGCAGATTCGGGCGGAGCACTGTCCTGACTTTTTTCAGTGATAAACAGCAAGTTTGAAGTGTAAGTCAAATAAATCTTTTCCTCCCCAACTTCTTCTTTGGTCATGTGTTTCATTCCAACAATAGAACCCTAACTAAGACAGGCAATAATAGCACCCCTATATTTTAGGGGGGACGAAACCAAGGGTTGAAGAGATAGCTCAGTGGGAAAAGGAACTGGCTACTAAATCTGAGCTTAAAGAGCCTTTGGGAAGAAGGAACAGCCAAGCCAAGCCATCCTTTTTTTTTTTTTTGCTTAATAGAAACATCATCCTGGATAAAAAGTAAGAGTCAACAGGACAGGCACCAAAGCTACAGAGAAACCTTGTCTCAAAAACACAAAACAAAACAAAAGTAAGAGTCAAAACTCGAGTCACTGCTGTGTGGTGTCCCCTGTTCTCTGACTATGTCTTCAGTCTCTCCCAGATCTCCCGGAACCTGAAGTTATTGGAGCGATTTGTTTCTCTTAGTTTTCAATCTTCATTTTATTGTGAGGGAATACAAGTATAAAAGTCTAGCTTTTCTCTTTTACTTGGTTTCTCCTTCCTGGTCACAATACTGTATCTCAGTTCCTCCGTTCTGTGACTGGACAATTAGTGAGTCACAGTGTTGCAGAAATTCAAACCATTCAGTATAAATACACAAGAAAATGATTCATTGTTTCTGATTGGCCTGTGGTTACAGGTGCCACTGGAAAGATTAAGCACCCTTAACAATTATCCACCAGAGGGCGCAAGAAGCTAACGTTTTAAAATGCTATTTGTGGAGCCCAGTATGGTGAGACTATGGAAGGAGGAAATAAAAAGCAATAGGTGTAATCTGATTGGTGTTGACTGTGCCTAATGTTTAGTTAATGTAGAACTCTCCATAGTGGTTCAGACTGTTCACTCTGTAGCAGCTGCATCTAAATAAGAGAAGCAGTGGTGTCATTCTGTTTGAAACTGCCTTGCTAAATATGATTATCTCTCTCCTTCTCACTCTCTCTTTGTCTCTCTCCATGACTTCCATTATTAGACTTATCAGCATGTGTTGTTTCTTGAAATTAACAACATTTTACATAAAACCATGGTGTGCTAATCAGCTGTGATGCAGAAATACAAAGGAGATCTTAGACCACTCTGTTAAAAACTTTCTTCCCCCAATTTACTCTTTCTATGTGTGTGTGACAGAGAGAGAGAGAGAGAGAGAGAGAGAGAGAGACAGACAGACAGACAGACACACACACACAGACAGAGAGAGATGCGCGCGCGCACACACACACACACACAGAGAGAGAGAGAGAGAGAGAGAGAGAGAGAGAGAGAGAGTATTAGTTTCAGGTATGCTCATGCCACAATACTCACTGTGGAGGTCAGAGGACAACTCTCAGGGATTAGTTCTCTCTGCCACCTAGTGGGATGGGATGGTCAAGCTCAGGTTGTCATAACTGCACAAACACCTCTGTCCACCACGCCACCTCACCAGCCCTATAAACAGAGCTTTTAAAAAATTGCTTTTAAAGGAGGGAGGAGACTAAATATGGTGGAAAGTACAATACAATTGGATTTAAATAAAAGTCTTTAACAACAAAAGGAAATGCCAGTGGCATCGGGGAACTATTTTCAGCAGGAAAATGAACTGGCAATTTTTACGGCAAACCCGTGGAGTCTAATATGGTCAGTTTTCAGTCTCTTGTAACTGTATTTAGTTGTGTTTATATGTAAATGGTGCTAATGAGTTACAATAGACTGTTGTGTCTTATATAGTTTTCTTTCAGTACATTAAACTGAACACCACAATTAACTCAAACACCACAATTAACTGGAACACCACACCCCTTGTTATAGACAGGTGAGGCAGTAAAGTCCATAGTCCCAAAGTCTTACTGTGAACAAGCCAAGCAGGTGCACGGAACTGAAAACAAGAAACAAATAGTTTGGGTTTGAGCAAGATGTCCAGCCCCAGAACTGGGAAATCTTGCAGAAGATTCTCTTTTTAATTCCTTTCTCGTGTACTAATTTTCCTTTGGTGCAACTCATTACCTGAACACGTGGTAACTTAAAACAACAAAGATGGATGATCTCATAGTTTGTTTGGGGTCAGGTGGTGTTTGGCTGAAGGTGTCTCATAACACATTAGAGTATCATTCAGCATCATTATCTGAAGGCTTGGCTGAGGTTAAACTCACCTAAAGCTGTTTTTGCACATGGGTGTTGGAAGGAGGTCTCAGCTTCTTGCTTGTCGGCTTATAGGGTAGCTTGAACACCCCCACACCATAGCAACAGGCTAGGCATGAAGGTCCAATGGAGCCAACGGAGAAGTTTATGTACTATAATAACTCATATCCACTTTTACTGTTGGAGACGACGTAAGACACATCAATGTTGGGTAGTTAGAACCACTCAGGGTCCCACATCAAACTCCTCCAATGTTATAGCCTTTCCATAGGGCCAATCTAAGCACAGACAGAAAATTCTCTATCAGAGGGTCTTTTATCTCGTCCCTCCTACAGCCTCTCCAGCCTTCTGTATTATCACCTCTTAGTTCTTTTTGTGTTATTCTGACGTATGATGTCGGGAAGAAGTAAGTTAGGGGAGGAAGGACTTACTTAACAATTTCAGAAGTGACCGTCTACCATGGAAGGACATGACTAGGCAGAGCACTTCAGTCATGCCGGCTAGAAATGAGAGGAGATACATGGAGAACCAGGAGAAGCTACAGTTCCAAGGAGCACCAGTGACCTGCTTCTCCCACTGAACTCACCTTCCTTTTGCTACCTCCCTATTCGCTCCGGTGATTTTATTCTCTACCCACATGCCTTGACAGACACACCCAGGAGAACTTGGCAAGTCCCTGCCTTTCTCAGTCCAATCAAGTTGTTGAGATATAATATTAACTTTCACGATCACTATTCTCGTCACCACTCCACACCGTCTGTGCTGTCCTCTCTAGGTCACCACACTTCACTGCCATGCTGCTCCAGAGATTTTCAGTTGCTAAGAGGAGGAGAAAGCAGAGGAAAAGTTCCTTCACTGCTGTCAGTCTTAAATACTCAGTATGAAGCCATTACTGTTTCACAATAGCAAGCTTAACACCTTTCAGTTATCTCTGGCACATTATTAAGTAAAGTACTCTTATCTTAGGCCAGCAAGGTGGTTCAATTGGTAAAGGTGCTTGCTGCAACCTGAGTTCCACTTCAGGACACCCATGGTGGAAGAACCAGCTGTGAACGACGGTGCACGTGACACACACATATTTACAAAATAAATAACAAAAGCCCTTTGTTTGGGCTGAAACTGGTAGCTCAATTGGCAGGGAACTTACCTCACAAGCATGAAGTTCCGAATACAGTCACCAGGACTTAGTAACCTGGTAACACACATCAATTCAATTATGTCATCACTTCTGTAGAAGGACCAGAAGTTCAAGGTCATCCTTGATGGCATAGCAAGTTCAAAGAAAGCCTAGGCTACTTGACACCTTGTTTTTAAATGAGAAATAATACACTTCTCCTTTAGTTAAATTTCCCCAAACCTTATTTCTTGGTCTTAGTATGAGTTAGATTTCAGATAAGACAGGTGGGAGAGAGAGGGAAGACAGAAGTCTCTAATGAACATTTACATGTTTTTGCTACTCAGCCAATTTCTGCCTATAGAATGAAACCAGCAGAGAACCTTGATACATCTGTGTGATCTTCTTAGGGCCTCTCCATGGCTTGCTTTTGGGATTCATTTGTCTCCTTTCTTATAGAGCAGATTAAGTAAGATGGTGTGACATTGGTCCGGAGACTCATTTCAAAGTTGTCCTCTCTTCAATAAACTCATATAAGCTGTCACTCTCTGAATTTGTGTCCAAATTATTATTTTTAGACATGATACATACAAATAGAATGACCCACAAATTAAATAATAATTTAGCCACATGTGAATGTTCATTAGAGCATGGAGAAAAGGTCTATGCTTCCAGGTACGCAGAAGTGTATGTGAAGGTACAGACTGGGGACAGATTGTGATCCAAAGGAGTCTGTGAGCTAGGAACATCCAGGATAGCCTCAAAAGGCAGAGAGAAAAGTTGCCATCAGTGCAACCAACAATGAGTAGCCTGCTCTTCTGGTGGTGAACTAGGTCTGGATGCATGAGTTTTGTCTTTTTCATTTATCTGTCTGCTAGGGCATCAAAGCTCATGAGTGCTAGGATAGGGGAAGAGACTGCGCAGCATCAATCAACAACTGTATTGCAAACATGGGGATATTACTGTGAATAAGTGCCTGTGGGTGGGAAAAAAGGCTGAAATTATGCAAATTCGTCCCGGGAAAGACAACTGGCAGGGACTCTGGCCAAAGTAAAGAGCCCAGGCCTTAAGAGGTGGAGGCAGGAAGATCAGAAGCTCATGGCCATTTTTTAACTATATACTCCCTTCCAGGCCATCCTAGTCTGCAAATATCTTGTCTTTAAAAAACAAAACAAGGGGCTGAAGAGATGGCTCAGTGGTTAAGAGCACTGACTGCTCTTCCAAAGGACCTGGGTTCAATTCCCAGCACCCACATAGCAGCTCACAACTGTCTGTAACTCCAGTTCCAGGGGACCTGACACTCATGGCAAAACACCAATGCACATAAAAATAAAAACAAATAAGTAAATAAAAGATACAGGCATTCTGTTTATAATATAAGTAAACAGAACTAGGGGTGGCCACCTGGGACTCTGCAAAATTAAACAACAACAACTAAAACAAAACAAAACAAAAGGATTTTGAGGTTGTCATTTAGTAGTGGAGCACTTGTCAAATATGTGTGGAGCCTTGAACTAGCTCATTTAATACTCATAACCATAAAAATTTGTTAAGATGAAATTATAACTGAATATTTGTGATGAGGAAAATTCACCCCAGGTTTGGATCTTAAGTCTTTTCCGAAGACCTGTGTACTCAAAGCTTGGTCCTAGTCCATGGCATCACAACTTTAAGGAAATGAAGTTTTGTGGAAAGAAGTAAGCTATTGGGCCTATGTCCTTGAAGGGGATATGGGGCCCCTCGCCTTTTCTGTATCTTGCTTCATTGACTATCATGAGGTAAACAGACACCATTGCCACCACATACATTTCTATTGTGATATGCCACAGGCTCAGAGGCAACAAGTAACCATAAATTGAATTTTTGAAATTGAATAAAAATAAAACTTCCTCCTTTTAAGTCAGTTGTCTCAGGAATTCTGTTATAGCCACAGAAAGCTGCACACCAGTTATCTCATTCCAGAGCCCGTGATACCACACAGTGTCCCTTTCTGTCTCCCGTTTGGGCACTATACCTCTTACCTTCCCCACCCACCTGGTCAGTGGAGACAAGACATAGCAGCAACCAGGAAGTGGAAGAGAATTGAAATAAGATTAAAAACGAAGTTAATATAACCCCCAACCAGCACACAACATGGATTTTAAAACAGGGCCAGAGTTTCAAGGAGGAAAATATATTGAATTGGAGAAGATGGGGTTAGAATATTAGTTTATAATGAAACTTTTACTCTTTACTTGTTTCATAACCATTTAAATGCTAACACACACAGGGGTGTCAGTAAAGTCTAAAGGCCAAGTGTCGGGCTGAGCAGCAGGAGAGAATGTTTTTCTGATGCTAATTACTGATTCTAATATGAGTTTTGCTGTTCTAGCTATGTTTATTAACTTGAAATTGACGAAGTTGTTCTTATCTTTCATCTGTGCAGGCCAATAAACTCACCAACGTGTAGTCAAGGTTAGTTTTAGTTATAAGTTTATCAAATCATAAGTCCGAAAGGAACACAGGAAGCTGCTCGTCTACTGGTTACTATGAAACAATAATGCAGAGCAGATATATACACATTGTAAATAAAATATGAAGTGAAAGTATATTCCTTGGTATAGAGGCTGTCACACACTAACTGAAGTTTAGTGGTGACTCACCACAAAAGAATAAAGCAGTCAGACATTTATTTGTTGGGTATTGGTTATTGTTTGCTTGCTTGTTTATTCGCTTGTTTTTTGAGACTGGCCTTGGTCTCAGCCTCCGTATTTCACTACCTCTCAAATGCTACAATTACAGGTATGTGCCATACCAGTAAAAATAGTTCTTCTTAATTTACAATTTCATAACTTTGAAACTCCAAATTTTGTTTCTCATCATACTGAGTGAGGTAACCCAGAAAGGCAAGCATCGCATGTTCTCACTGATGAATGGGTTTTGGCACTGAATCTTTAGAGTGTGTGTTTAACTTGAAGTACCCATTGAATCCAAGAACCACAGTGGGAAAGACAATGGTCAGAGAATAAGTGGGGGAAGGTTTGGCTAGGAAAGGGGATGCAAATGTAGTGTGGAAGAGAGGGCGGAGGGGGAGGAATGATGAACTATATGAATGTTTGAAAAGACTATATGAGAAATTACTATTTTATAATTTCCAGAATAGACATGTAATAGCATGCATAATAAAATACATTTATAATATATTATAATTACATGTGTATTATAATATATGTATAATAAATACATATACATATTTATATACAATATATTCCTACAAAAATTTAATATGAGTTACCCTATACAGGGGATAATAATATTTCCAGAAGACATAAGTTGCTAGAGAAAAAGAATACTTTCCCTCAAGTTCTTAGGGGTGTCCTAGAGAAAAACAAAATAATACAGGCTTTTACCATTGCTCTTGGCTGTCCACCAGTATTTGTTGTGAGACTATCACTGAAGATACCATATATTTTGGCCATATGACATATAGAAATCAAGTTGGTATTGGGTGGGACCCTTTCTCCCTGCTGCCTAGCCTTCATATACCAGAAGATGCTCTGCAAGAGACTCAAAGCAGGGGTCAACAGTCTTACAGCTATGAACACTGAGAAATATAATAAGAACCAGCTTGGCAAGATATGCCAGTGGGTGCAATAGTGTCACAAATGTTGCAGCCACCTGCTTTCTGCTTGGATTTAAGGTCAGTACCACAGGAGCTGGTACTGTAAATCTGGCCAAGAACTCAATGTTTTGAGAGTTTATAGACCCCATGCATGAACCTACCTGTAGTAAAGAGGAGCGGCGGTGGGCTGTGTCCCGCTGCCTGACTGGCTTATGCCCTAAATAATCACACAGAAATCTGTATTAATTAAACACTGCCTGGCCCATTAGTTCTAGCCTCTTACTGGCTAACTCTCACATCTTGATTCAACCCATTTCTAATAATCTGTATTGCCACTTGACTGTGGCTTACTGGGATGAGTCTAACCAGTGTCCGTCTTGAGCAGGAGAAGCAAGGCATCTGCTACACTTTCCTTCTTCCCAGCATTCCGTTCTGTCTACTCCACTCACATAAGGGCTGTCCTATCAAAAGGCCAAGGCAGTTTTCTTTATTCAAACAATGAAAGCAACACACAGAAAGAAGACCCTCCTACACCACCTACTAGTATTATTCTACTGAGTGGACACACACTACCAAATTGCTCTCTAAATTTGTATTTTTGTATCCATGGCCTCAAACCTCACCAGAAAGTTTCTTTGTACAATGAACACTTAACTCATAAACTTGTAGCTGGTCCAAGTGCAGAGAATAAGTGTATGTGCAGTGCCCAGCCATGAATGTAACATTGTATTATACCCCTGTTGACAGAGACTGCTCTTTTGTTCCTGGCCACCTAGACCCGAATAATCACACATAAACTGTATGAACTACAACACTACTTGGCCAGTAGCTCAGGCATATTCCTAGCTAACTCTTATATCTTAAATTAACCCATTTCTATTAATCTATGTACCTCCATGAGGTTATAAACCTTATCATCAGGCCTACTGATAAGGTTTTTTGGCCTCTTTCTCCTTTGGCAGCTATGTGGCATCTCCCTCACTCCACCTACTCTCTCTATATATCTTGGTTCAGATTTCCTGCCTGGCTTTACTCTGCTAAGTCATTGGCCAAAAGAACTTTATTCATTATCCACTAAAAGCAACACATATACAGAAGGACATCCTACACCATATCCCTCCATCAAAGGTTCAGGAACTATTGGAGAAGGAAGGAGGATTATAAGGGCTAGAGACCAGGAAAAACTAGAGAAAAACAGAATCCTCTGTGCTCATGTACTCACAGCACCTATGATTGCCTACATGGGACCTACAAAAGGTGAATCCATTCAATATTCCAGCATAGGCAGTGCTCACAGATCCCAACTCTTAACTAGGCACTGTTGATGACTGATGGCTTCTTGGGGAGGGAGAGTCAGTTTTCT